AAACTTCACCCAGGTGTCCAGACAGCGCCCCGTCTATGTATTCTTCTGTGTTTGCAAGCTTCAATACAAAGAAATATATTAGTACAATCAGAGGAAGAAAACAGTAGCAACACACCAAAGGCTGGCTAGATGTCTTATTGCCTGAGACCTTTCTAGACCAACAACTCAGCTATATCCACAACTAATCATCAGAAGATCAAACAGCTTTCGGCTACTACCACAGTACATTTTGGTTTCACATCAACATTCAGTAAAAGTAACATTCACGGATCCAGAACTAATATATAATAAAGCTAAAGCTTGTTTCAATGTAAGTTTCAATGTTTCTTTCTACTAGGTATCAGACCTGTGTGGAGGGAGGCAAGTAAGTCCTTTTTTTAAAACCTTTAAAAAAAGTTTTCTGGAAATTCAGTTCTAATAAACACCAAGTTTCCTCAGACTGAAAGCATTACAAACCATGCTGAGTCATCCAAACGGGCGTGCAAGAGCTGGGGCTAAAACGCCACATATCTGTATACCAGTCAGCAACCAAAGCCAAGAAGAGTAAGCGCTTGTACTGAAAGTGTGTGTTCTAAGAAACAGGGAAAGACAAGTTCTTAGAGGAGGTAAGACAGTTAAGAGTGACCTCTACAGCGACCTCGGAGACCTTTCCTTCTACATGTAGGCAATAGACCTTACTTGCCATTTTTAAACATCACAACAGTGCCACTGGGGACTCACAAAAGGAAGGAAGAGGAGAGAGGGAAGAGGGGTTTTCCTTCCCAACTAGGTGTGTGGAGAGGAGAAAGCAAAATACGGCTGACCGGGGATGAGACAGAAGGTTTTTCACACCTGCTGAGGAACAGATCATGTCCCGAATCCAGTCCTCACCATTACTTAATGGGCACTGACCGGCAGCCTAACCTTATCACTCCTCCCTGAACTCAACCTGTTCTGGCCTCTTGGCATGTGCCTTCAACATGCTGCTGGGCACGCTTCTGCCACAGGGCCTTCGCACCTGCTGTTTCCTCACGCTGGGATGCTCTTTCCCCAGAGAGGCCAATAGCAAATGCCTAACATTGCACACACTGCCACTCATTCCCTCTCTTTCTCTTCACAGCCCCACACCGGACATATCTTCTTACCATCTCTCACTAACACATCAACTCTTGAGGGCAGGAACTTTGTTTTGCTCACTGCTATATTCACAGTGCCAGGCACTATGGACACTCAATAAATATCTGCTAAGCGAACAAACTCAGAGATACGTTTTCTAACTCTACCAGGCTGAGGCGGAAGGACTGCCTGAGCCCAGCAGGTAGAGACCGCAGTGGCTGTGAGCGTGCCACTGCACTACAGCCTGGGTGACAGAGTGAGTCTTCAAAAAAAAAAAATTGTTCTTTTAAAGTGTATAAGTACCTAACAATAACTACCTAAGTATTCCTCCTGTTAGTACTCTGCTTGCAAGTATGGCATCCTTAGGTTCATGGTTGGATTGACTACCCGTCCAGGTAACCTTTAAAAACCTGGTTAGAAACTACCACCACTAACCAACCAAAAGAAAAAAACAAAAAAAACAAAAAACAAAAAACCAAACAACTCAAAATGTTCACAAGACATGAACAGGCGTTTCTCCAAAGAAGATAAGCAAATGGTTTAAAAAAAAAAAAAAAACATGAAAAAGTGCTCAATACCGTCATTAGGTAAATGCAAATCAAAACCACTTCACAGTCATTAGGAGATAGCAAATGTTAAAAAAATAGAAACACACAAACACACAGAAAAGGAGTCAGTGTTGGCGAGGATATGGAGAAACTGGAACCCTTGTAAAATGCTGAGGAGGGTGTAAAACTGTGCAGCTGCTGTGGAGAACAGGGTGGCAGCTCCTCAAAAGCTAGGCCCAGAATTACCCTATGCCCCAGCAACGCCACCTCCGGGTGTACCTCCAAAAGAGCAGAAAGCAGGTGCTTGGACAGGTAGGTGTTTGTACACCCATGCACACAGCAACACTAATCGCTGCGGTTCTAAGAGGGAAGCAACCAGGGTCCACCACGGGGTTACATGGATTGGAATGAGGTACAGCCACACAACAGGGCGTTACTCTGTCACAAGGGGGTGGCATTTCTGACAGCTGCTACACCAGGGACGAACCCTGAAGGCATTACACTGAGTGAAAACAAGCCAGGCACAATCCACTCAACGAGCACCAGGAGGAGTCAAACTCCTAAGCAGGTAGTAGAACAGCGGTTACAGAGGCTGGGGGAGGGCAAAGAATTTCGCTTTGGGAGAATGAAACAGCTGTGGAAGGGGTAACGGTGAAGGCTGCACAACAACGTAAAAGGACTGTGTGCCACTGGACTATACGTTTGGAAACAGCCGCACATTTGCAACGTATATTTTGTCACAACAAAACCTTGATCATTTGCAGAAAGCAGTTTAACAGATACGCAGTCAGTCCAACTCCTCTGGCTGGCCTGTCTTCCCCTGAAGGAATGCGCTCACTGAATTACCGGAGTGTTGTGCCTTCAGAATTCATTAAAAGACAAGAATTCCACTTAAGAATTTCCTTCAGAGCTAAATGCTGGGAAAGCTTTGCCCTCTCCAACCAACTGATGTGTTTCCCTTATGGCTTTACGAATCAAAGGTCAGCTCTGCTCACTTTCAGCGCGTGGAATGAACCCGAACTTGGCTTAGCCCATGTCTTGGGCTAGTGCCTCCCAGTTAGACGACGTCCTCCCAGGCCTTGGCCTTACGTCCCCGTTCTGCTTTATGCTCGTCAACTGAGGGGTGTGTGGCCCGACTGGTCACACTAAGCTTTGGGGAGCACAGCGAGACAAAAGCAGGGCGACTGACAGCCTCCACAGCCAGGTGCCGGACACCACTCACCTGCATGTTCATGTAGCCGTCCACCGACACCAGGTAGCCCTTGTACTCCATCCCCCACTTGAGCTTCACCATCACTGGCTTCCCCGTGAGGCCATTGAGGAAAGGTTTCGGGTTGAGGGGTAAACTCTGCGTGAAGAACAGAAACGGAGGGACACCAGTGACTCTCTCTCCCTCTGCCACCCACTCGCCGCTAACCAGTTCCCCTGGTGCTATCTGGCGGACGAAAGCAAACCCTCGACGCCACATCACTTTACCACTATCACTCTGCCTGGCTAAGAGCATCGGGGAAATTTAAAGGCCCAGTTAGCCAGTTTCACCTGAACCCATCAAAACGAAACACTCGTCATTAACTTTAGATGCAGGGATGCCTACGTCACCCACCGTTCCCAGCTCGAAAGAACCAAGGTAAGAGGGAGAAACCAAAGGAAGGACAGCCCAGGGGTCTTGGAAGGCGGGGTGGGGAGCCGGCCAAATTACTGCGCAGGGAAACAGGAGAGGCGGCCCGGAGCCAGGGACACCTTGGCTTTACAGACGAGAGCCTCCTACTTCCAGGCGAGGG